ACTATCCATATTAACCAGGTCATCCTTTATAGAATCAACCTTACACATAACACCAAAATAAGGATTTTAAAAGCAAATCAAAATTAATGATTATTTTAAAGAGAGGTTAAGAGGTGAATGCTTGTTTTCCTAAATAACTACATTACTAACAAAAGTTCTCGGACTGGCTGAGCTCAATGTGTCATGTTCTTGGGCAAGATACTCTACCCTCACAGTACATGTACCTCTCTCCAGCCAGGTGTATAAACAGGTACCAGCACATTTAATGGTAGGGGTAACCCTGAGATGGACTAGCATCCCATTCAAATGGGAGTACAAATACTCCTAGTTGCTTACTGCTGCACAAACAGGGGATAAACCCTAGCCTGATGGTCCAGTGGGTTTGAACATAAACTTTGGTCACCTTCTGCAAACATCACCTCTAATCATTAAACAGACACCTCCACAAGGAGATGCCTAAACATGAACTTGGTCCCAAGGGTGTCTGCTCACAAAGTTGTCCTAGAAGCGAAATCTCTCCTTAACAGAGACATGACAGTGATCCCATTTACTCAGATGTTCCTCAAACTTAAAATGTCCCTCGACCTTCATAACTTTTTGTACTGCTCTGCAAGTAGGTTTACATGTTGGTGTCCCCAATTAATAGAGGGTTCAACACTTGGCTATGATCACTGACACATGAATAAAGTCATTATTATTATAAGTTTATTTTTTTTTATTAGGTCATTATTAAAAATCTACTTATTAACTGAGAAATGAGATCTTTATGGGAAAATTGCAAATGAGACCTTGCCCTGTTAACTGAGTAACAGGGAAGTCAATATGGCAAGGCCAAGCACAGAGATTGTATTTGCANCTGCTCACAAAGTTGTCCTAGAAGCGAAATCTCTCCTTAACAGAGACATGACAGTGATCCCATTTACTCAAATGTTCCTCAAACTTAAAACGTCCCTCGACCTTCACAACTTTTTGTATTGCTCTGCAAGTAGGTTTACATGTTGGTGTCCCCAATCAATAGAGGGTTCAACACTTGGCTATGATCACTGACACATGAATAAAGTCATTATTATTATAAGTTGTTTTTTTTTTATTAGGTCATTATTAAAGATCTACTTATTAACTGAGAAATGAGATCTTTATGGGAAAATCGCAAATGAGACCTTGCCCTGTTAACTGAGTAACAGGGAAGTCAATATGACAAGGCCAAGCACAGAGACTGTATTTGCAATTAAATCGTAGCACAAATCAGTCTGTTGATTTAAATCACTGTATGTGATTGAACTGTACATATGCATTGTGTTATGCCTCTGTTGTTGAAATCCTATCTGCTGGTCGTCACCCAAAGGGCAACAATTCTGCAAAGCAAAGTTTCCATACAAAGAACAAAGTGCCAAGAGTAAAAAAAGAGACAAGGGAACATGTGATTCGTTGGATGTGGAATGCAACATACCAGTG